GATGCATGAGGCGAGACGAAACAGAAACAGAAACTATGAAGTTCGTAGAGCTACAATCAGCTACAACTTACAGCGCCACTAGAATGAGATAGCATGATTTTTTCTCTCTCGCACAATTTCGACGAATAATGGCGGACTTCACGTGTCCAGACTCTTATTAGAGGGTCACTAGACTATATAACCATGGACTGCTAGTTGACTTTTTACGCTGTAATGAACATCACGCGTGCCCCCGAGGGATAAATGGCAAAAATCCGAAACACGAAGTCACATTTCGATGGTAAAACAGCGAATCCTGGTACTTCAATGATACATCGATAACTTACGTATATAGTATAAATCCTAGTTTACTATTTCAATCGGGAAAAAGAAAGAAATTAATATTTATTACAAAATGGTTAAATGTTGTTGCGTGCAATTCATCAACTTATAAAAAAGAGAAACAAGAAAATAAGAATCGGTTATTATAATAGATGATATTCCTTTAGAATACATTAATAGCACTTTATATCACGCTGTTTTATATATTGCAGGCTTTGTCGAACGTAAATTATTAAAAAAGTTGAAATGTGATACATGTTTCCAGCTCTTCAATCAATGTGAAACAGTAAACTCCTCATTTATAAATAGAAAAAGTTTTGGTTTTTTACGATTCCCTACCATTGACACTTCTAAAATAGTTATAGCTTGCGAAAAAATTTTTCATATTTTCAAATTGGAGAACAAATTAAAAATAAGAAATATAATTTCTATAAGTCCAAACAAACTTTCAGAAATATTAATTGTGATACACTATTTGTTAATTTTGATACACACATTAAAGAACTGGAAGTATTAGAAAACCACAATTATATATTAATTAAATTAATAATAACATTTTATTTCGAAGTAAAATTATTTTATGAAGGTAAATGCATCACAATATCTAAACAAAAAGATCTTTTGAGACGTACGTTAACGAAAACTATAACTTTTAGCGGTCAATAATATTGCAATAAAATTATATTTATATAACTATTAAATAATACATAGATATATATATATGTTTAAGCACTTATTATCTGTTTTTGTAAAGTTTATATATGTATATTTTATGTTGGTGCTGAACTTTACTAATAATAAAATAATGCAACATATGTCATATTCCATCTCTTTCTTTTTTCCTGTTTTACCATCGAAATATGATTTCGTGTTTCGGATTTTTGCCATTTAAAGCGGGGAGCACAGACTTTTGCATAACGCATAAACCATATACATAAAGAATTTGATTGGTCCATTGACTCATGCATAAGAAAATGGGCCAATGAAATTCCTTATGCACATGCTTTATGCATTATGCAAAAGTGTGTGTTGGGGCTCTATACCCCGGGGGCACGCGTGATGTTCATTACACGGTTCTCTTTGTCTATCTTACGGAAAAGATACAAAGAGTGGGGGCAACTAGCAGTCCATGGTTTTATAGTCAAAGGTCGACACATTTTGATACTACTTAGATACGGGATCGCGCAGTCCATTCTTTATTTTATGTCTTTGATATCTGTTTCTAATATTTCTCCTATTGTGCGTAGACCTTAAAAGAACGCACCCTTTTATTTCATATTTTCACGGTTTTGAAAGTCACATGATTCCGTGAAATCTTAGATAATCAACTTTTTATTATTCATGTTTCCAACCTAAGGGAAAAATTACATGATCACTATTGAAGTCTTTGAAAAAGTATAAAGATCTAGAATGTGTTCCTTTCTCGCGAAGTATCCTGGAGCCCCAGGGGGATCCGTGGAGCTGCCGTAGATACGTCCGGCACTGTGCATGTTGCCTCAGAGACCGCGTCTGTTTAAAAATGGCGTACGTTTTCGATCTTGATTGCGCTCATGAGACGATCAGACGACTGTGGAATCCACAATTCACCACAGTTCATGAAGAATAATGGACGAGGGAATCGTGGAGAGTCCGCTCGAACAGACGGCACAGAGACTCACCGATGACATACAGAGTATGTCGAATTACAGAGCGCTTTACAACGAGATACAAGTGCGTGCCCGGTACTCGTTTAACGCCCATCGAAAGCGGTAGCAATGCATTCCCTATCTGTCTTTTTGCAGAGACTTGTCGCGTCGTCCGTCGTGAACAAAGATGACTTTAAAAACTCGCTGGTTGCTGCACTCAAAGATAATGGTCTGGAGACTGAAATCAGAAACACGGTGTTTCACTGGGCACGATCTCGGGTACTCCCCAATCAACTTTCAATGAATTTTCTATTGTTTGTATCTGAACTAATATTTACTCCAGTGAGCCATCGAAGGATAAAAGTCTTTTAATTCCTAAATAATGATATTCTGATATTGTACTATTTTTTTTGTTAAGAATTTACTGATTGATTTATGTTGTTTTAAAATATAAGTAAAATAATTAGATAGATAAATATTTATATGCCTTTCTTTTCTTCGTTGAGTCATAATTTTTTTCAATTTTATATAGGAAAAACACCAGTAGATTATAATAGAGCTCACTAGTTCTATAAATGAATTAAATACATATTTGAAGTTTGGCAAAAGGAAGAAGGAACATTTTAGTACAATTTAGTATACATATATATATATATATACTAAATCGCTATATATATATATATATATATATAGCGACAAACAACAAGAAACCTATTCTTGAAGTTATATCGCGTTTGAAAAATATAGAATATACATAATGCGTACTATATAAGACTGATTGTATTTTTCAAGACTAAGGTCCAATTCATCTAAATAGATCTTTTTCTTTCTCCCTCTCTCTTTTTCTCTCTTCGTAGGGTTCGCTGCACTCTCGGTCAGTTTCATATATACAGACAGCCGACCTGAGCTACCTAAAGAAGACTCAGATTCAATGGGAACGACGTATACAAAAATCATTGAATTCAACATGCAGTGAGTTGAACGTTCCACTGGCTCGTATAAGATCCACTTCTGATAGGGACGAACTGGCTGAAAAATGGAATGAATTGAGCACTTATGACATAGGTAAAATTATAATAAATTTAAAGATATAATATAAATTATGCTCGGAGTTAGTTACGAGATATTTTCAGATTTATCACAATACCGACCACTGTATGCACCAAAGGACTTCCTAGATGTATTGTTCTCCATACGTGATCCTTCATTCAAAAAGCAACCGTGTGTAATTATAGATTTGTATAAAAATCTATCTTTCCCACCTTTATTTGAATAAAAATGTGTTTGCATGAAGCTCTTTATCGAAACATTTCAGAGACGAATTAAATTGGGATTTTAGTCATATACAAATTAGTGTAAAAACGCTTGCGCAATTGGTATGAATTTTACCTAATCATTTCTGCAATTTATAATTTGTTTACATGAATGTATATATAGATTTCTTTGTATATAGAGACGTATGTACTCAGAATTAGCACAGGGAATGCCATTACTGGGAATAAATTCTGATATGCCGGCCACAGAAAGTTTCCTAAATTTGGAAGCCGAGCGGACGCACATTGGCGAAAAAGTACTAAATTCAAATCATGCCCCAATTGCACAGGAATTTCTTAAAAGAGGATCTCCTCGAGCGTTGCGCGGTCGTATTTGGTCACTCGTTCTCGGATCTGTTATCAAAGATAATGTATAATTAATATCTTATGATTTTTATTGTATTATAAGCTAAAGATTGATGTCTCTGATTATTATCAATATAGATATAATTTTTCTTCTGTAGGATATAGAATATTATGAAGAATTGAAAAATATGGTTTTGGAATATGATATTGTGATAGACAAGCTGATAATAATGGTGATATATTTTAAATTATATTATCTGTTCCTAAGTAAAAGAAACAATGTAAAACATTTTATGTTTTAATAGGATGTGCAATTAACGGCAAGAAACGACGATCAATACTTTGTATTTGAAGATGTTTTGTATAAGACAATGTTATGCTTTTCGAGGGATTCTGAAATACTTGCACCAGTCACAACTGACAGAAGTGCCGGTGGTCAAGTGATCCACGCGGTTTTGCAAGGCAAACCTGCGACATTGGAAAATACTTTGGTCTTTCCACCAAGTGGTGTTATTCCATTTCATGGATTTACAATGTATGGTAAGATGTTGTGTGCAAAAGATTTAGTCAGTGCTCTTATATTTAAGACTATCTTAAGTACAATTGCAAACCACTCAAAGAATTGTATTAGTATTTCATGACATTACTTAAGACTATCTACAAATACTAGCCTTGTTCTTTGAATCTATGTAACTAATTGTCAATATTTCTACATCAGCTACGCCATTTTGTTATTTATATGATAATCCTTGCGCTATGTATTATACTTTCCGTGCATTCTACTTGAGATATTGGTTCCGTTTGCACACTGTATCGTGTCATGAACAAGGTATAGTTGCTCTCTGCTTGCTTTTTGAACGATTACTACAATGTCATGAACCGCAGTTGTGGGCTCATTTCAAAAATATACATATTCAACCGTGAGTTTATCTTTTTAGTCGCCTGTAGCATTATTTGCGCAATCTATTAACTTGACATGTATACATTTCCAGCATAAAAATAGTCTTCAAATGGCTCATGAGAGGTTTCAGTGGCCATTTACCGCCTGAACAACTATTGTATCTTTGGGATCTAATTCTCGGTTATGATTCTTTGGAAATTATACCACTATTGGCAGTGACGATATTGAGTTTTCGAAAAGAAAATTTACTGCAAGTTAATACTCAACAGAATGTAGAGGTATAGAAATGATATTGTGACATGAATTCCCACTTAATACAAAATAACAATAACATTAATTATAATTGTTCACTCAATATAAATGTAATATATTTAATAAATGTTGTACATAATAGTTACATTATTAAGTATAAAATTATAATATTGATATAATGTTATTTTGTATATTATTTAGTATGTTACAAGCAGTTGTGTATATATGTGTATGTGTGTGGATATATGTATATATATATATATATATATATTTAGTACTTATGTACATTTTCTTTTATTCTTAGGCTGTGTTAGCAGACTTATCTTCATTAAAAGTAATGCCGTTACTGCAGTTGGCTCTTCTAAAAGAATAATCTTCACTTCTACACATAAAATTATAATCACGAAATTTGTAAACTTTTTTTTAGATTTATATTATTTCTCTGATTTTCATCATATCTTACTCTGTAATTTTATTCATAAAAATATTATATATCGATAGTGAAAAATATATACACCACATATATTAAATAAATTAACGTGAAAATAAAAAAAAACAGACAATTTTAAAATACATATTAACTAACAATTAATGCGAATATAAGAAAGATCAAATTGTTGATATATCCATGATGGAAATACCATGGATATATCTACGGGAGACTATCGTAACAATGATCAGGGGAAGGGATAAAATGCGGCGCTCTCTCCGAAGGAGGATGGAGGGGGACTTTCCTGTTTCCGGCTGTCAACCGTAAAGCTTGGTCGGAGTGGGTTCGGAGCTGGTCGGAGCTCGGTAGAGTAGAGCGGTGAAGCTGCCTGACGTTCGTTATTCCTCTCGTGTTCGTTGTCAGGCTGTATTCCCGGATACTCGTTGGAAGCGTATCGAAGATTGGCACCCGTAAACACGCCTCGATTGCGAATCCCCGTGAGTATTTCGCGTCTCTCGTTCGCCGATTTACACACGTCGCTCGCTGCTGTCAGCGTCATTGCGGCAAGCGGCGATCTACGGTCCCCACACGTCATATGAAGGTAGGGTGGTTCTCCACCCCCAAATTATTAGTCACGCACGGCTTTGCTCAGGCAAATGAGTTGCGTCGGCGTCGTTTGCTTGTTGTCACCGACGCCGTACAATTGATGCCCGGCCTAGAGAGAGAGAGAGAGAGACACACACACATCGGCGTCGATTTCTCCCTACCATTATCCGTACCGGGAGCAACGCCCAGCGAATTATTCGCATGTGTTCAAGTGTTCCTGCGCGAAATCTCGATTGAGAAACTTGAGTTTTCTCGCAAGATTTGTTAACAACGAATCCCGCGGACGCTGATCTTTGCCCTGTCTCCAAAGTTGTGTCTGTATGTCTCTTAAAAAGATTGTAATACTGTCTACAGATGTTCGGAAAATATCTTTTCTGGCACTTCAATTAATCATTGTTTTTAAAAGTGTTCAAGATAAATCAGTAATATCTAATCACATTCAATATATCGAAATTGATTGATAATGAGGTTCTCATGACATTACTTTGTGCTTTTACTTCCCTCTAGATTACATGATTTAAGTGAATTGCCTGGACATTTAAACTGAGTCAGTAGTGAATCAAAATGGCTTGGCGTTTCAAAGCGTCTAAATACAAAAATGCCGCGCCAATTGTTCCCAAGCCAGAGGCCTGTATTCGAGATATCTCTGTAGGATCGTACCAGACCTATGGGAATAACATTACAGCATCTGCGGCGTTTATGGCATTCAATGTCGATCATAATGGTATCACACTTGTGTTTATCTATAACAAGTTTATCTCTCTTTTGAGATATTCATAAATTATTGTTTATTAATTGAATAAAACCTTTATTACACTATCCAAAGGATCTAGTTTAGCAGTATTGCCACTAGAGGATTGTGGTAGAAAGAGCAAAACTATGCCACTGTTGCATGCACATGCAGATACTGTGACGGATATGGAATTTTCTCCATTTCATGATGGCTTGCTTGCAACTGGATCTCAGGATTGTCTCGTAAGCTTAGAACTTTATTTTCAGCAAATGTATAGTGAAATGCAAAATACTATTTAAAAATTTGCATTTTTCTAAATATCATTAATTCTATTTAGAAGTTATATATTTCGTGAGTTACCCTCCGTATCTATTATTGAAATGCCAATGTTTTTCGTGAGGCATTTTAAGAATAAATATAAACATAGAGATAACTTTCAAAACATATAGCTTCTATACATATAGAAAGTACTTGTGAAGACCTTAAAAGAGTTAATTCCATTTGTGTAAAATTAGGTAAAGTTATGGCATATCCCAGAAAGTGGCTTGGAAGAATCCTTGTGCAATCCGGAATGTACATTCTCGCATCGTCAACGAAGAGTGGAAGCGGTATGCTGGCATCCTTCCGCTGAACATCTTCTGACTACTGCATCATTCACCAATCTGTCGCTCTGGGATGTTTTATCTCAACAGGAATTATTTTGTAAATATTTTATAACTTTACCAACACACTTGTTGTTTTACTCTCATTTATAAATGTTATGTTATTGCAGCTAATAGCGACCACACCGAAGTAATTCAGTCTGTAAGTTGGAAAGAGGATGGTACTGTTTTAGCGACATCCTGCAAGGACAAACAACTGAGGCTTATAGATCCGCGCGTATCAACGTGTATCGTTAATTCATGTTCGAGTCATCAAAGTATTAAAGATTCCAGAACAGTGTGGTTAAACAACGATAGAATACTTACCACAGGATTTGATGCAGCAAGACTTCGTCAAGTTTATATTAGAGACTTGAGGCATTTAAATGAACCAATGAAAACATTGGAATTAGATTGTAGTACTGGGTAAATATGAGTTGAATTCAATCTTTCCACACTTGAGATTTATTTAATTTCAGTATTGCTAAGTAGTTACCGAGATAATTATTTGTATGTATAATATATTTTATTCTATTAGTATTTTGATGCCGCTCTTTGATTCCGACACAAATATGCTCTTCCTCGCTGGTAAAGGAGACACTACTATCATATACATGGAAGTCACAGAGAAAGATCCTTATCTAGTAGAAGGGATCCGTCACAGTGGTGAGCAAACTAAGGGAGTATGCCTAGTTCCTAAACGAGCATTAAATGTAATGCAAGCTGAAGTTAACAGGTTGTTGCAGCTCACCTCCAATATGGTAATTCCTATCATGTACCAGGTTCCACGAAAAGTAAGTTGTATACATATATTGTATGCATAATATTTTCTATATATGAGTTGTCACATATAATATATATATCTACACATTTTTATGAACATCAAATTTTAGACATACAGAGACTTTCATGCAGACATTTATCCGGACACAACTGGCCCCGTTGCTCAAAATAATGCAACATCGTGGATTAAGGGTCATAATGCACCTGTACCAAAGATATCGCTAGATCCTGCTAAAAGAAACAAAGGCGAAGAACCGATTACTGTAAGTAAACATTTTATTAAATGCTATGGAAATTCTTATATTACTCTTAATGTGGTATACATTTGAGGTAGCTTTGTTCGCTAAAAAATTTTGTTTGCTTATTTGTAAATATCAGTTATATAATATTGCTTTAAATTAAAATCATCGATAATTGCATGTTTTTCATCATCATGTTTTCTCGCATTACCATCCCATTTACTTTAAAACAATTGGTTTTTGAGAATATTGAGTTGTCTTTTTCATTAATTTATTTATGTATTTGCTTTGTACAATACCTATTTTAATCTACGTATGTTTTTAAGTTAGTAAGACCTTTACCTTATGTTTTCTAACATTAGAATATGATAAAACTAACATCAATATGATGTTATTTATTTTATATAAAACGGTTATTTTGTTTGTACAAGTGTTGCAATATAACTTTATTAAAAAAATTGTTTGCTGAATATATATGAACAGATTTTTATGTAATTTATTACATACACATGTTTACAATATATTTTTTATAGAAAGTTCTAAATCTTTCTGTACTTGTTAGTATGATATTATGTGTTATAAATATGAGAAATCAATAGAATATATAATGTAAGAAATATTTTTATTATAATAATATATTTTATATCTCCATATTTAATTCTTTGCAGGAATTTCTCTTTATTCACTTATTTGATTATTACTAATTATGTATACATTTATTTTGCGCTATTCAGTTTCTTTCTCCATATTCTGTGTATATTTTTTTCACGTTTCAGATATCCAATATATGTTTTATAATTTATACATTAGCACCATTCAAACTATTATTCCTGGCACGTGTAATATAAGTGGCAATTGATGTTGTAGCTTATTCTACAGTGTAAGTAATAGTATGAAATGTAAAAACATCTGTATCGTTTATATGGCCATGAGATAATCTCTTTTTGTAAATTTGCTTTCAACAAATTTAATCACGAAATATTTTAAGCTAAAGCTGAAGCTTGTATTTGTATTTTTTGTTGTACACTGCTGTCTATTCTGTATAAAAATGCGAGCTACGTTACATATAATATGTAAAAATAACGTGAATGTAGCTGAATTGTTGCTATTGTTAAATTATCGTATTGATTATGCAGAAATGTGTCAAAAGTGCAAAATATCGGACAGTGTAGTTTGGTTTGCATGCAGTTTGCGGTCATTAAGGATTTTACCGTACCTTCAGGTACACAAAGGGAACTTAGCGGTACTCAAAGACAATCAGCGCGAAATTAAAGTAGAACAAACAAACCGACCACCGAAACCCTTGGTCATTACCGCGCCAAAAGGATTCTCAAAAGTGCAGAGCAACGTGACAACCATGAATGAGTTGCATCGTGAAAATGACAACAATATAGAGAAAAATGACAACAGTATACATACCGAGAAGATTGAAGATTTGAAAAAGCCACTCGAAGCAGAAGAAGAAAAGATCAAGATACAAAATGGAGGACAAACCATTCCACCAAAGCCTTTACCAAGAGCCTCAAGAACCAACAGTATCTCTGAGGAGGAACCAAAACCAGTAGCACGTCCTCGTACATCGCCAAATCCTGGATCAGTTGTTACATCAGTAAATCCTAATGCGATTGGTGGATATAAGGTTATAACTAACTTAAAAAAGAAATTAATGTTACATAAAGGATATCTGATTTCTGTAACAACGCGTGACACTTTTGCATGTGGCTAATTTCCTCTTATATCATTCATGTCATTGTCATATCATTACTCTCTCTCTTTCTCTCTCTCTCTTTTTCTTTCCCTTCTCCCCTTTTGTCTCTGTTCAATTAATACAATTCTTAAAAGATGGAGAAATAAATAAAAAATTAATTATTTTTATTTTTAATTTTAGCCCCGACTTGGTCCTAAACCATTCCAAGCAAAGTCGAGCAGCCAGGAATTTTCATTTGACAAGGTCTTCTCTGTACCAATTGCACCGAATAACGACAGCAACACCAATGGTTATCAGAATGAAATTAATAATACTGCGGAGCATAATGCAGAAGTAGATAAGTCGCCAACTTTAACACCTAATGAGCGTGCAAAGGATACAGAAAATGGCAAGAGTGACTCAAGTTCTATCGAAGAAGATGCTAATTCGAGCGACTCTGGTTACAAACCAAAAACACCAAGCACTGCAGAAAGACGCAAAGTGTTTGAGACGAAAGTGAAGGACGAATCACCCGAGAACGAGGACGTTGGGAATTTTGAACGCGGGACGAATAGGAACTCAATCGCCGAAAGGCGACGCCTTTACGAAAGTCGATCTGTATCTGTCACCGATGGGAATTTGGCGGAAAAAGCTATGGGTTCGCCAACCATGCTGAGACGAAGAGATTCTTTCAAGGGAATCGCAAAGAGCGAGGTGATCAAAGAAGATGAAACGAAAAAGAGCATTCCTATGTTGCGACAGCAGAGCATGGATCCTAAATTGGAAAAGGTGGAGCCTGTTGTAACACCAGTTTCAAAACGGACGTCAACAGTTTTTGGTGAGAGTTTTTTTGCAACACACTCCAAAAATGTTTTACGCGTTATTTAATGCAAATACCTTGATTGTTATGTAGGAAGAGTGTCCAAATTTCGGCACTTGAAAGGTACTCCGGGACACAAATCTACACACATTGAAAATATACGCAATATCAGTCGCCAAATATCCGGCGAATGTGATGGCTTTCACGGTAAATTTTTTTTCTCAGTAAAACTCACCAATCGACAATAGCCAGTGGCACGCAATGCTTATTTTCTTGCTGGATTACTAACTGAATTGCTAGTTATATTAGATTCTTGCCACCGTATTGGCGATGTTGACAATGTCAACATCGTAGCCAATATAGTGGCAAGAATCTAATTCAGTCAGCAATCCAACACAAAAACGAGCATTGTGTGTGTGTGTGCGCGCGCGCGCACACGCGCAGCCGGCTTTAGTTATAACTTTCCACTCAATAATATAATCAAAGATCAGATTTTGATGAAATTATATTACTTTTAATTTTCAACATGTTTCCATCAGATCAGTTTAAAATGTTTGCAAACGATTTAGTACATTAAAAAGTACAGAAAACGTGCATAAGATGAATGTTTAGAATAAGATCTGATAATTTTTCCTACCTTCCTTTGTAGCTAATCCTGATCGAGTGGCTGTACCTTTGAGTGGTCCAGGTGGAAAGATAGCAGTATTGGAATTGAAGAAAACTGGAAGACTACCTGACGGAGTTATGCCAGCATTAGTCCATGGTGCGACTGTAATGGACTTTCAGTGGGACCCGTTCGATAATCAGCGATTAGCAGTTGGTAAAGTACAGAAGTTGAAAATTTATAACAAAGAAGAAATATATTATTCCATCAAATTTGAGAAGTATCAATAGAATTTGCTTGTGCTAGCTTGTGATGACGGAATAATTCGCTTGTGGGAAATACCTGAATCTGGTTTGGCGGAACCGACAAACGAACCGAAATACATCATAGAAGCCCACACCGATAAAATTTATCTAATCAAATTTCATCCACTGGCATCAAATGTTCTTGCATCCGCTTCGTACGATATGACCGTAAAAATCTGGGATTTGTCGCTGTTGTCATCCACTGAGATAAATGCAAAAATCACGTTGATCGGTCATACTGATCAGATATTCAGCTTAGCGTGGTCACCGTGTGGCCAATATCTCGCCAGCACATGCAAAGACGGTAAACTACGAATCTATAAACCCCGGTCGAGTGATGTTCCTGTGAAAGAAGGAAAGGGTCCCGTCGGAACGAGGGGTGCAAGAGTTATATGGGCACTCGAAGGCAGATATCTCGTTGTAATGGGCTTTGATAAGTAAGTAACAACAAAGAACCACACGTTTTGTTCAAATATAGTAAAAAAAAAATATACACAGAGAAAGTAATGATCGAAATTTATATCTTCCAGAGTTTCGGAAAGACAGATTTACATATTTAAAGTGGACAATTTGAATACTCCCTTAAACACTGTTGGATTGGATGTTTCGCCTGCCATTCTAATGCCATATTACGACGAAGATAGCTCCACTCTTTTCCTGACTGGACGTGTAAGATTCTGTTTTGTATTAAATTTCAATTACATTCATAATAAATTGTTTACTTCTCTTTTTCAAATATTATTTATAGGGTGATTCTACAATATATGCATTTGAAGTAACCGAGGAAGCTCCATATTGCTGTCCATTGAGTCATCATAGATGTAGTAGTTTGCACCAGGGTTTGTCATTCCTTCCAAAAAATAAATGTGACGTGGCCAGCGTGGAGTTCGCCTCTGCCTTGAGGTTAACAAATAACACAATAGAACCTTTAAGCTTCACCGTGCCGCGTATAAAGGTATATATTACATATAATTAATATATATTGTAGTATGAAATCATTGATGTGAAAGTGCTAATGTATTCATCTGTTTAAATTAGAGCGAATTATTCCAAGATGATCTTTTTCCTCCAACTAAAGTTATCTGGAAACCAACTTTGCCCGCGTCAGAATGGTTTAGCGGCGGCAATAAACAACCATCTAGAATGTGTCTTAAGCCACCTGGCATGGATAATTGTAAGTAAAAGATATTATATTGTTAAAAGTATATTAGGAAAAAGTATCTGTGTGTGTTACATGCGAATTTTTATTCACAGTAACTGAGAATCAATCTCAAAATGCAATTACGCCTCCCCAAATTGCAACTAAACCATCTTCAACCCCTTTTGGTATCACTACACAACCTTACAATAGATTAGGATGGAATCCAGACATTAAAGCAAAACAAGAAGAGGTGAGAGGGCAATTGAATTTATGCATTTTGCATGTATTTTATGAATAGATATTGGTACAAAAATGATTTCTTGTGAAACATCGCATATTATTTATATATATAGATATATATATATATATATCCCCGATTGGTATTATTCAATGACATAAAGTGTGATGCATCCTAATTATTTGAAAAAAAGCGTTAAAAAATAATTTTTTTATACTATTAAAATTCTTATTGCAAGGCATCCTTGTTTTTGTATAATAACATGTTTGAGCATGTTGTGTGCTTATGTGCATTAGATCCAAAAAACTATGAGCCATTTTGTGGGAGACGTCATCCAATGTTCGTTAGAACAAGATCATATGGAAGGTGTTGAGGAACATGAATGGGTAAGTAGGTGTTTCATTTGCTGTAAATAGTGCAAATCATAAAATTGAAATCATGTCAATAAGATCAATACTAAATAGTAGGGTTGGCAACGTTACCTCATAAAAATAACTCGTTACCGTTACCGTTCTTTTTCCTAAAAAAAATAACTCGTTTCCGTTCTTCGTTATTGATTTGCAAAAGTAACTGGTTACCGTTATCGTTACTCAAACTATAATGAATCATTACTTTTTCGTTATTTTTTTCTTGACACTAATACTATGTGCAGATTTTTTTTATAAATATAAAAAACATCAAAATTTTATTTTTTAGTAGAGGAATAAAAAAATGTGTATATATATAGGTATATATAATTATTAATTATATACATACAATATATAATATTATATATATTCATATTTATTAGGATAAAATCTCATGTGATCTCGCTGATCTTATCACCTACAGTCTACATGCTATATATTAGCCTATAGGTTGCGTTATATGCGTTCCGTTTCACGCATAATGCATATGATACATCATTTTATCCTTGCTGTTCACCGAATATTAAAGAAAGATAAAATGATACATCATGCGCATAATGCGTGAAATCACCCGACCGGTGCGGACGCGTTTCGGATCGGGTGCTTTTTTGTATATTTTTGAAAGTGTTGCCGACTTTAACTGTGCGTTGACACCCACATCGATGTCCGTGGGTGGCTCGACTCGGTCGTCCGTCCTGACGCGCGTTAATGACGACGTCGTAGACGCAGGCGCCCGGTGTTCGTTCGGGCCACGCCATTTTCGCGGGCATTACATCACCCTCTTTGTTTTCACAATTCGTTTTGTATACGTATTATATTTTTTGATATAATACGTATACAAAACGACTGGCCACGAAAATCCGTTTACTACGGAACCTGGGCCATCCAAATTTAAAAGAAGAAGAAGAAGCAAAAACTCCCTACTAACTCGTTCCCGTTACTCGTTATTGATTTGCAAAACTAAATCGTTACCGTCATCGTTACTCAAAATATAACAAATCGTTACTTTTTTCTTGAAATTAATTTAATATTATGTGCAGATTTTTTTGATAAATATAAAAAAAGATATCAAAATTTTATTTTTTAGTAGAGAAATAGAGCTTAAAAACGTGTATTTGTATATGTGTGTTTGTGTGTGTGTGTGTATATATATAGGTATATATAATTATTAATTATATACATACAATATATAATATTATATATATTCATATTTATTAGGATAAAATCTCATGTGATCTCGCTGATCTTATCACCTACAGTCTACATGCTATATATTAGCCTATAGGTTGCGTTATATGCGTTCCGTTTCACGCATAATGCATATGATACATCATTTTATCCTTGCTGTTCACCGAATATTAAAGAAAGATAAAATGATACATCATGCGCATAATGCGTGAAGTGGAACGCAGTCTATGAGTGTGAACTGTGAATATAATGTGAAATAAAAAGGTGTTGTGATTACATGATTAAGAGAGCCAATCAGACCTATTCCTTTTAACGTCGCATCTCTGTTTTCTACAGCTCTAGTTACGATTAAAACTTTTACGTGGCTAGAAATAAAGTAACAATAAAAGTAACTAGTAAAATCGTTACTATTATCCCAAAAATGTAGCTGCGTTACATGAACGTTACTCCGAAGAAAATGTAAAGTCGTTACATATTCGTTACCGAAAAGTAACTTGTAACGGTAACGACATTACTTGCCAACCCTGCTAAATAGTTATGCATAATAGTGAATTTATTGTATAAATATCATAGCAAGAAAGAAATAGAAGTATATGCTTCAATCTATATTTTTAGATGTTCTTCAGTATGTCATTTAAAGATAATTACAATCTAAAAATAAGGGAGCTGAAATCGTATAATCTTATCTCTATATGTTATTTATATCATATAAATTTATATATTATTACATGTGACTTCTTATTAGCATGATTTCAGTTTTATTTTTGTTTGTACAGAACCTAAATTTACCTTTGCTGTGTTATAATTCTGGTTTTTAAGTAGTTATTTATTTATCGTAATAGTTTTTAATAAATAAACTCTTTGTACTCAGTAGTTACATATATTGTATTATACTATGTACGAATATACGATCATAATACTTTTTTTTATATTTCAGTAAAAATGACAGTACAAAGCAATAAATTTTAAAATTGATAGAAAATTTGTATATTATGAAAATTGAATGGTTAACATTTAAACTTATTATTTTAGGACGAGTGAAAATTGAAGGCTAGTGGATAGATGCAAACTGGTAAGGTAAAAAAATCTAAAACGTAGTTGGTCGAGCCGCGTAAATTATTCATAAGTTAGAATTATACAATATATCGCGCGAATGGCAACAATATCGCAGTGTTACTGTGTATAGAGTGAGAGGCAATTGTCGCAGAAATATACTTCCAACGATTTTCTTTTGCGGAGGAAGTAAGAGATAAGTACAGTGTTTTATATCAATTTACAACAAATAATACTCATTTTTTCGTAAATCTAGCTTAAGATTTTGTAATCGCATTTTTAATGCATAGAAGTAAGAATCCAGGCCTTGTTAAATCACATTAATTTAAAGTAAAAAGATAAACAAAGTAAATGACACAAAAGATTTTTTAATCTAACTACGTACATTAATGCAATATTTGATATAGCGCTGTGTCAGTATGATAACACAGTTCTTATAAAACTAAAATGCGTGATTATAGCTCTAGTCCAAATAATTTTTTTAAATCGCTTTTTGGTCTCACTTATATATTTCTAATTATACCTAAATCTATACTATTCTATAGTACATCATTGTAGAGATTATATTAGATGTAGGATATGCTTAATTATTATGAAGAGAATTGGGAAGATTATATTACAATTTTGGACAATAGTTTCATTCATCTATTTAATGAATATTAGTTTTGAAAGTTTAATGGATGAGTAATTCTTCTTAGAGCGAGTATGCTAGTATATTTATTATCTGCTTTTCAGTACCAAGTGTGAACGATATCAATTGTGTCAGAGAGACAATTATTGACGATTTTTTAATTATTTGCTACATATCGAGCATTAGAATGATCAATTTTTTATGTAAATGAGAAAAAAATCGCAATAATGTGCCATTTGTAAAGCGATAGACATAATATCCAATCTGTCGTTAATAAGAAAGAGAAAAAAGACAGTATTAAACAATATTATTAGCTCTTTAAAAATAATTTATTTCTCACTAAAGTTGACATTCCTTATTTAATTTATTTAATCGCCACACCAGTGCCAGATTTATCTTTGTTTCTACAATGCCAGGTGTCAATAATGGTCTCAATGTATAATATGTCATAATATAATATATCATTATATATGTGTGATAATAGAGCAAATGACAGTTTCCTCGCAGAATTGTGAGGCAGATGGTTTTTTACGATATTTCATATCCTTGCACGCACATACAAAAAGACACTATACAAATTAATTGATAAATACAACGCGCAAATAAGTAATCGTAAGCGAGTAATTTAATTTTACGGCGAAGTATACTTCAATTAATATCTCAATCGGTGAGCATTGAACAATCTGCAACATTCAAGCGATATTAATGAAGAAAAAAGATGACTGATTCTCTTTTTACAATAACATTTCTTATCAAAATATTGAATATAACACAATTGCCAATTTATTAAGCGATAACCTTTTCATCCAAATATTCAAATTAGAATATTTCATCTCGTTTATATATATATATATTTTTACAAGTCGTTACATATAAAAAATAATGGTACTATGTCCTCCAAAAAGTTTTGTAATTGGCGATAAAATATTTACTTTTTTTCTTTGTAAAAAATTGAATGTTGTCATTATATGTATATAATATATAAATTTATTTTTATTTTTCATACCTCCGGGCATATGAATACATTTGATCAACATAGTGCCAAAAATTTATTATCAATAGAATTTTTTGTATCTTGCACAATTATAGAACTGTAAGATGTTCGAAAGTATTTAAGAAATTTTCTACACGTGTCAAAGATATTTAAGATGAAACTTGATTTGACGCTGCCATTTATATCTCGTCCGTACTACTGATTTCATATTGCATTATAAAAAAAAGGAGGTACGATAGTGTTGCATATCTTAATATAATGTTTTTTGTTTATTCGTATATGTATATGTTATATATTGCAATTGCAATTTCTAATTCAGATTTGTAACCATTTTGTAGTTTTCAAACGAACTCTATCTGTTTACGACCAGATTATAAATAAGCGAATTTTTACAGAAACGAGTTTGAGATAGAGATAATAAAAAAAATGACTAAATATTTCACTCGAATCTCGTTGCTCTGTAAATCGTCGCTGTCTAAATAATTTTATCATATAGTGATGTACCTTTATATATCAATCTCATAACGTTCATGTATTTCAGCTATAAAACCTTTTTATCAAAAATTCTAATTATATCTGATTCCCAAGTATCCTCTATCTAATAAGTATAATTTATATAAATTCTTTTTTAATTATATTAAACATTTTTTAATATATTGGAATCCGTATAGCTTATTATAATTCGGATATCAATTATTTCAAAAAGTATATGGAATGTTTTTATTATGAATAAGTAACTTTGTATAATTGTATAATTTATAGAATGTATATATGCAATTTCATAATATAATATTTGCCAGTGATAATTTCATAATTTTTAATAATTTTTTTATGTAATATGCAAAGATACAGTAAAAATAAATACAATATTAAATAAATTATCTAGTATATCCAACACGATCCCTAGGAATCAACCTGAGTTCCGCGCCGTGTTTAAGAAATACATTTCCTGAAAGCATAAATTGTACGATTGATATTCGTATACTTAAAATGAAGATGGTGCGATATATAATATTATAAGATCTACCTGCAGTTTGTTGAGGATTAATTCCTATTCCATCATCTGTAATTATAGCCGATGTAGCTGGTGGCACTTTAAATTCCTCAGCAGCGAATTTTAATACAGCAGTAAATGGAGTATTTTCTGGTACACTAAGTCTGTAATTAATAAAATAATACATGCATTTTTTATTTCACAAGATTGGGCAAATCTATATAGTATCAAGGAAAATACTGCCTTACAAATATATGAAGCACATACATTTTTCTTATAATATTTTAAATGTCTTTTAAGGATTGGTAATTATTTCGTTAACAAAATTTACAAGCAGTAGAAAAAGTTTTTATTTCTTTTTGTAACAAAAATTACATAAAATAATTGTAGGTTATAGAACAATACAAAGTATAATTTATATTACAAAATGTAAAAATCTGGAAAATCAATTCAAGATATCTGTTTCGACATCATTCCATATTTCACTATCTGGTTGAGTTTTACAAGTCAACATTCTATTATATACTTGTTTGCGAATTACATGAGGACCATTTAATAAAATTTTTATTATTTGACAAAGATGTTTGTATTCAAATTTAAAATCTGAGCACCACTTTCCATTTATGAGGTACATATTTCGGCCAAAGTAAAATATTGCATCAACAAAATCTATGCAGAATTGAGTACTATCCTGAAGTAATTTTAAGAGTGATTTTTTTTCAGTATCTGCTAAAGCTATGCATATTTCAGGATCATAGTCAGTTAATTTTGAAGTAAAAGTTTGTACAACTAATTCTTTAATTGTATTATCATTAGATTCAACCGTTAAGCGTACAAGTCTTGAAACATGACTATCATTTAACATCTTATTTATGCATTCAATTACTTCCTCTTGATCACCATTAGCTATTGCCATTTGCCATGATATAATTAATGCCTCATCTTCCATGTGCGACAATGGTACTCCTAATTCTCCTAAAGAATCTATAATCATCTTTGTCGCGACAGAACTGCTTATTACTTGATTCAGAAAGGCATTTAATCTATCCTGTCCAAAATGTTGGATGTACAGTTTTAGATACTCGTCAACTATTTCTGTAGAAGTACGATTGTCCTTTAAATAATGTTCCAATAATCTATCGCAAGCTTTTTCCAGATCAGAGCACATAATGTCCTGATTTTGTAAAAATAGCTTCCTTTCTAACTTCTGACGTAAACATTTCTCAAAGGGTAACGTTTTATTGTCAGCTTGTACTTGAACAATGGTGATTTCGATGAAATGAGCACAGTTGAAAGCTTGTGTTACATTTTCTACAGTCATTTGTTCACTAAAGGTTGGACTCTGCAGTAGCGCGAGAAACGCGTCGATAGTCTTAAAAATTTCAGAACCGGCGGCTTGCATGTTACTCTATACAACAAAAGCACAGGTTCCATTTCATACAACCACTTACACTTTATATGGTAGATTAGGATCGGACGTGAGAGTTACTCTGAATGTCACTTTAGATCTGTAACACGTTAAATTTTATATTAATACATTGTACAACACCTTGTGCTGAAACTAACAAAACATATGGCTTCTCCACAATCATCTACGTGTCCTGTTATTATAATATTCAACAACTTTATATTTACTTTAACCTTGTAAAACTTTTCTGAAAGATATACGTACGCCATCGTTCATACGTAGAATTCTGTAAGATATATATAGACAATAATAATTGTCTTAAATTGTAACCAATTTGCGACAGACTGCAATGCAATAATCAAGCCAGGCCAACATAAACCTTGTCCTTCTAAGTATGGCTGTGGAGTTATGGACTGGTAGTTGCCTACAGTTTCTGCAAAGAAACAGTGCTCGAACTCGGAGCAGTCCGGAGGAGGTTAGAGAGAGAACTTTTCAAGAATCTCTTTCTCAATGTCGGAAATGTGCATTGCGCATGTTAGTTAAACTAGTGTTTAAACATACGGCGCGTTAATACAGATAGTTAATACTATGAAAAATAATATATCATAGCGAAGCATGAAATAAAATTTTTTTTGAAAATGTACAATATATAGATAATTAAAAAAATATATGAAACAAAACTTTATAAGTACGGATACGATCCTGCTTGTATCCAGTATTTCCAATCTATACTTATAAGGGTTATGTAATCGACATACACATATGTTAACAATAATATATATCTCAAAATATATTAAAATCCTTTTTTCCAGTTCCACATATTATAAGAGATAAAAGATCGTATTTTCTCCTGTTATTTTATTTATTTATATATATATATATATTCTTAAAAAATTTTCGCAATTTTTAAATCTTTATAATAATATATTGTTTAAAATCATGCATATATAAAATTACATGTCTGTTAAAAAGGTTAAATTAAGAAATTTATAAAGAGAAGTATATAAGTGTGTGTATGTGTGTGTGTTGTGTGTGTGTGGATGTGTGTGTGTGGGTGAGTGCGTGTGTGGTGTGAGAGAGAGACTAAATAATCAAAATCCCGAGCATTATAATATTATAATTTTTTTAATCTTAAATTATACATAAATATATATATATTAATTTTAAACAGATTCAAGTGATGTTCTCTCATAAAAGTGTGGTGCCGCATCCAACAACATTTCTGGCTGAATGACAGTCAAGTCCTTCATGTAAGTTTTGTTTGTTTGCAAAATTTCGCAAAATAGTAACCTAAAATGAAATTATATATATATATATATATATAATACATTAAATAAAATTTCTGACAAAATAATATTTAATTAATTAATTGTTTCTTATATTTAGGAAATATTATTTACCATTGCGGCTGTTGTAGAGTATATAAGCAACTATTTGGATGAATGTACAAATCCTTGTTGCCCCGAACCGTTCTATATGTACCTGTATAATGTAAATATGCCGCTTTGGGAAAAAGACCAGCGGTCAAACATTTAAGAATTTGTTGAACATTCCCTAAAACAATCAGAATAATTATTATTTGCTACAATTTAAAACTGTATATAATTATATTAGTGTTATATCTTTTTATAATTATATTATTAGGACCTTGAATATGATAAGTTCTCGCCGTTTTCCAACATATGGTGTTAACAGAACTGCGTGCATGTAGTTGAAGACGGGAACATATCGATAAGAAACTACGATAAGCAAGCTTGAAATTCAGTGTAGGTATGTCATCTCGCCGAAGTGTAAACAACTTTTTGTTTCATAGTGTTAAACATGTCGAGTTTTGTGCCAATAAAAGAATATATGCGGGGAATTTTATTGCGCTACTTTATTCAAAGAAAATCTGCAGCTGAAGCATACAGAATTCTTGTTGAGACTTCCGGGACCACGCTCTATCGGAAACAACATGCAGAGATTGGTTTAGACGCTTCAAAAATAATAATTTTGATGTTGAAGATAAAGCAGAATTGGAGGCATTACTGCATGAAGACTCATGTCAGACGCTAGCTGAACTTGCAGAATCATTAGGAGTTGATTACACAACAGTATCTAAACGTTTAAAATTATTATCTTTAAATAAAACATTACTTTTCACGAAAAAAATGGCGAGAACTTATTCAAGGTCCCAATAATATATCTGTAATTAAATTCAAAATACTACACCATTGCAGGATACCAATGGAATGTCTAAACGTTTCAGCATTTTATGCATCTGCACGCGAATTTCCGTAGCTCTCCGCAAAGCTTTATGATTAAGGAAATATTTCTGACACCAGGCGGGCGTTTTATTCTGTTCAAAAGCTGTGTAGACATTCAACAAGGTAAGAAGATCTCCTTCTTCCACTTCGAATTTGCGATGAGCTATTCTTGCTTTTAGAATCGCTTGCCCTCCGCCGGGTTGTATGAAAACATTCTGAACTTGTAGCATGGCGATTATTGTCGTGATCTCCTCGGAACATCCCATTTCACCTATTGACAAAAGACTTACTGTTATAAATTTACTGCTATAATCATGATTTTATATCATTATTCTTTCAGAGATTGAAAATCTTTGATTAAAAAAATCATTAATTAAATGACGAAATTTTGCATTTTTATATTGTGCTTAAAAAATTTATTAGCGTATTTATTCTTATATATACCAGATGTGATTAAGGATTTCGCCAGCACTGGTTCCAATGGCATCTCCGCCATCATAAGACCTAATGGCATCGTCAAATCTCCGTTACTGTCGATCGCACCTAACGCGTAAAGCAATTCCAATCCCGTGACTAGATTTTTGCTGGGCGGCGCAGATGGAAAATTGAAACGCAATACATTATCGATGCCCAAGGCTTTCAGTTGCAGTACCGCTGGCGCCAAATCTGACCGTTGCATTTCCGGAGGAGTAGCTTCGAACAATTCTGCGTAAGCCTCTTCTGTGTACAATCTATTTATTGCAAGATTGAAAAATATTTTATCAATAATAATGCAATAATTTCTATATTTAGAATTAACATATAATAATATACAACAGAAAATAATATACAATAAGTAACACACAAAATCCAAAATCGGGATATCTTAAAAGTTCTCGCAAGTGTCTTATGTTCTGAATTTGGATTTTTTTGTTCAAATTATTTTCTGGGTACACACATTACTGTTATATCTTATTAGAATTATATATACAATATATATATATATATCAAATAGTAAAATAAATTACTGTTGAGAGCCAACAGAGGATGAAAGTGTGTAATGAAATTTATTTAGTTACATAAAATTGTATACGTTTCGACCTTAGTCCAGGTCCTTTTCAATGCATAAATTACACTATAATATTGAAAAAATTCTTCGATGGAGTAAAGAGTGTCAAAAACGCGTACAATACCAAAAAAAAAAAAAACTAATAGCTATATAGTATTGTCCAATTGTAATCAAATCACGACACCATCATTGAGGTGTCACCAAAATTCAATGATTATCGAGAATTTGAAAAGCGTATAATTATTGTACAGATTCTATTAATTCCACAGTTTAATGGAAGTACAAAGTGAATTTAATCGATATTGAATCGTCAAAAAGTAAAATGTGAAAAAAATGTATAACTCTTTTACCTAAATGCTTTTCCAGTACGTACGCGGCCTGCGCGGCCAGCTCGTTGATTGGCGGAAGCTTTCGATATGGGCACGATAACGAGGCTGTTCGTCTGCGTTTCCGCTTCAAACCAGGGTATCTTGACAAAACCGCAATCGATTACTGCACATTACAAAGTTCCGATTATATAACGTCGTTAAGAAAGACAAAAAGTATTATATATTAATATATACCGTAGGTAACATACCATAAACGATATTTGGAATAGTAATAGACGTTTCCGCGATATTTGTCGCTACGATAACTTTGCGAGTGTCTTTAGCGGCCCTCCAAAATACCTTAAGCTGTTCCGTATTCGGAAGCGATCCATACATCGGCAAAGGAAGCAGTTTCTCTAGAAATAATTTTTATTCAATTTAATATAAAGTTTTAAATTTCTTCAAAAAATATTTAATATATTAGAGTTTATTTTTTCTCTTATTTTCGTATTGATCAATCCTGCAATCCTTTTCTAGTTTCTTTGTTGTCATCTTTAATAATGAATAATAATGGAAAATATTTTGAAACAGCAGAGAAGTAATTTAAAATATTACTAACAGAACAACAAGTTCGCTAATAAAAAATATTAGATCAGTGCAAAAGTTCAAAACTTGATTTATTATTCAAAATTAATAATAAATCGGTATAAACATTTGCATTAATCTAATATATATTAGTCCTAATTAAAATAATGCATTAAGATTTCTTGAGAACTATGATAGATATACAAAATGTTTCAAATAAAAGTTGTATAGTTCGAAGAAAGATGTAAGAAAGTACAATTGATTTGACATTGGATAGCGTTATTAAGATCAGATCAAGATTATTTTGAGTTTTTTAAATGACCTTGACAAAGTGACCTTGTTCTGATCTTGATAACATCACTCGAGGCCAAACCCATTTTTGTGTCCCCCTTAAAGCTACATCATTTTTGTCTAAAACTTTTTTTAGTCCCACGTCTTCTTTTCGATATATTCTAGTGTGGCAATTAAGGTGAAACATCCTGTGTGTGTGTGCACGCGCGCGCACGTGCGCGTACGTGCATGTGTATAGGGGAGAGAAAAAAGGATTTTAAAAAATATCGCTGAAAAACGAAGAATGGATTATAACAGGTTTTTTTCATCGTTCAAGTAAATTGACTACTACAATTCAACATTAGAGCAATTAGATTATAACGTATAATAAATCTTGCGACATGTTATTGTTAGGGTGTATTTTTATATATTTGAGAATTGCAATTGTATAATTTTTAAATGTTGATTTTGCGTCTTTGACATTGTCATGTGAACTTATTAATTAGATTAGGGTTTTATGCAGCTGACTTTTTAAAGTCGACGCGTTCCGAATTAATATTATTGATGGTAATAAATTTATTGAATTATAATAACAAATATAGCTCATTGTTTTTTGACCTGGGAATATACTTATTTAAAAAAAAATTTTTTTTTTTAAATATATTAACTTAGAAATTAGTGTTTTTTTTCGAAATTTTTCTATTAAAGAAGTATTCTTTACTCCCTGTTTTTAAGGAACTGGCCGATCATCTTACTCACGTTTGTCATCTTTTATAAGCTTTGCGTGTTCCGATAAAAGGGATACAGCTTGATCGACTTCATCAAGTCCTGTGAGAAACGCTAGAATATCACCTGAATCCTCCGTATCATGTATTTTTAGAACTGTATCTACTACACCATTAACATAATTCGCCACCGGTTCTGCAACGTAATACAATTTTAATTAAACAGTGAGAGAGTTATAATTTCAGTCACGAACATGACTCTATGGAATATGCTTTGTGTACCTTTCAGAAAAAATACATCCACCGGATACAATCGCCCCTCGACACTCATGATAACCGCGCTATCTTTACTCGAGTCCTTCGTCGCATTTACGTTAAAGAAATCTCGAAGTTCCTCTGCGTCAACCGTCGCTGACGATACGATAATTCTCAAACTCTTTCGTTTCTGCAAATGTTCATGAAATAGCGTCAATTATTTATTATGTTCCGCGTGAGGAGAGTTACGTTTGCTAATGAACGCATCAATGAACTTACCCTGATTATTTTTTTCAGCAGTCCCATTATGATATCAGTCAAGAGCGTTCTCTCGTGCACTTCGTCCAGGATAATGACCGAGTAACTTGTTAATAACGGATCACTCATTAATTCCCTTAGGAGAATACCCTCTGTCATGTACTACAAAGGCGATTTATACATTAGTTTCGTAACAAAATAATACGCACATACACGTGTTAATATAAAATAAATATATATAGAAAAATACTGATATTATTTCTTATCTTATCATGATATATACTATATAGAAATAAATATATAGAAAAATACTAATATGATTTCTTATTTTATCATGATATAACAACCGAAAATGCAATTAATGATAGTACTGCGGTAGTTTATTAGTTTGCGTTGTAAGTCCGAAAAAAATTTCGGCACACATTTAGGGATCTACATACGTAGTATATAAATTCACACGAAAATTATATTAGAAGCATTCAAGATCCAGCTTAACCGTAAATGGCTCATTCTCATTAGTATTTAGTTTGAAACTCTCACGGTCTAAATAAGATTTGATATTGCAATTAATGATGTTTCATAATATAAAATTAGATAATATTTTAAGTATAAATCGCGTTTTGCGTTCCATTTATCTTTGGTTTACAGTACTATACCTTAATCCTAGTTGTTTCATCAGTGTAATCATCGAAGCGTATACAATAACCGACGGTAGTGCCTAGAATACAATTACGTTCGTCGGCCACACGATTCGCCAGAGAAGTGGCCGCGACTCTTCTCGGCTCTGTAATGCCAATCTTTTTTCCATCTGTACACCATCCTGCTTCGAGAAGATACTGAAAAGTGAAAAACATCAATTAATTAAAATTAATTAATTGAAAAGTTAATTTATTTAAAAAATAATTAAATTAATTTAAAAAAAATGCATGTTATTAAAAAACTTATTAGTTAAAAAATTAATTTATTAAAAAATTAAATATTCATTAATATTGCTACGCCTAGCGACTAAAGTCGTATTCTCGCATTCGCGCGTCTAAACATGCGGAAATAAAAGACACTTTCTCGTTGGTAAAAGTAAACTCTCTTTAATTGGACTCAACATTTATATACATATGTATGTGCGTGCGTGAATAAATTAATATTTCTTATTATTATATATAATTTGATGTATAGTACATTTTTTTTACATATATTTATATATATAGTTTTTTCATATATAATTTTGAAAAATATTATTATATTGAAGAATTTATGTTTGGGTAGAAAATAAAATAAAGAAACAAGTATTTCAGAGATTAATTCATATAAAAATATTTTATTGCATATTTTTGTTATAAAAATAATACAAGACTCACCAAACGGAATCATTTATATAAAAATATTTTATTGCACATTTCCGTTATAAAAATAATACAACTTTCTCTCTCTTTCTCTCTCTCTCTTTCACTCTCTAGCCACAGTGTGTGTGTTGTAAAATTTGACAAAACCTTATATCAAACACAACTGTTGACGTTGACCGCATGTTATCTAGTAAAATTCTTTTGCATACGTTCACGTAACAGTTTTTTTTACATACGTTCGTTATATTCGTGTTGCAGTTAGGTAACATACTTGGCACTGGATTAAATAAAAATGCCTATCTACAGACAATAAGTGACCTACTTCGACATAAATATAACGTTGTCTTGTATGTAATAGCGATAAGGAAAAAAAGACTGTGAAACGTTGCATATAGTTATTTTACGGATTTCAATTTTTACTTAGAACATTTGTCATGTTATTTTGAAGCAGAATTATATATCTAAAAGTTTTATTATTAAAAACTTAAGAATACAAGCAACTTGTAAAGAATATAATATTTTTCATATATCACATATATAAAAAAAGCTATATAAATTAAATTTTTTTTCTTAATTATACATGTATATTTGTGTTACGTTATTATACGTGTATTATATTTTTATGTGTATACTTATATACATATAAGTATAAATATATGTATATTTTTATCATGTATTTATTTAATATAATGTAACATCATATATGAATAACACCAAATACACGTTACTTTTATTTACGTTTATTAATATATATCAAATGATTCATAAATAAATAATTTGTAAATAAAAGAATGTAGATTTATGATAATACAAAATTACATACATATAACTAATTTATTTATTTCTATACTATATCTTAATTTTTATTTTTAATTAAAACGACTATAATAGTATATATGATCATTAATATAATAATCACATAATCACATCATTTAAGAAAAATAGATATTCAAGAAGATTGAAATAAATGAGCTCTTCTAACGAGCCATATAAAAATTATGAAAGAATTATACATAAAATATAAAATTATAATAAAAAAATGACGTTAAAAAAAATAGACTCTAAAAGGAAACCTTCTTCATGCTTACGCTTGATGCACATTTTTAGCGACAAAATTTAGGTCATATAACTGAAATAGATATTCGTCTACTTTGACCATATGATCTGTTTTGACGTTAAAAATGAGCGTCGAGCGTTAGCATGAAATTATATCTTTATGCATTAGGAAATGCATATAAGGAGGATCGCAAGCTCTCATTTACTGACAATATTTCCACATAAGTGTACGTATAGTGTAGTTCGCTGATAAGGATAAGCAGAAACAACACTGTAGGTAGCTGCCACCACGCGAGTCTAACGTATTCCCAAATGCGATCCAGAAATATTGCCAGAAGAAAATAGTCCATCATTGCGTGGAAATTGAAGATCTTCCATGCGAGGGCGATAGCCCAGAAAGAGGAACTTCTGAACACGACAGTTTGCCTATCATAAAGATCCTCTCGGCTGATCGTCGAAGAGATGTCAGTCTCTAGAAGATCCTGGTACACGGATATATATCGGTTCCAAGCGATGCTTGTCAGGGAAAAGTGGAGACCAACCATCAGCATGTTGTACAGAGGTGATTTCCAGAACGAGATGGACGAAACGGAATTGTGGGACGACAATGACGATGACGATAACGTCCGGATGGGTAGTAACTCGTAACCGGCGCGGTGATTAGAATTGCGCCTCAGGAAAAAAAATACCGCGACGGCGAGAGCGATGCAGCCGAGACCGTCGCAGAGGCCATCCACGAGATAACCGATAGAGCCGACGTCCGATCTCTCACCCTTGACGTTAAGCCTCGTCCTCGCCACATGGCCGTCCAGATCATCCAACCAGGCTCTAACTTGAAATAGGATGACACCTAATCGTCTGTAAAAGAGAGAACTTCGCGTGATGTAACGGGCTCCGATTACAGCCACCGCTACGTGAGAAACGCTGATAGCGTTTGGCGTCAGCCACATCCAGGAACGACTAATGCCTAGTAAATAATCCACTAGAGATGCCAGGGGGCTCAGAATATAATGATTAGGATGATCCAACGTCATGGCCTTCACCGTCACCGTGCAAATCGGATTTAGATCGCACAAGATCGGCGAATGATACGATGAAGCTCGCGTGTCATTCACGGATGGACGTACATCGTAGTCCTGCACTCGGAAGTAAAGTAACAAATCCATTCCGACGAAGTACAGCAGGAGTAGAAACGCCAGACACGTCTTACTGATAAATGCTGACGAGTACATTTTCCGAGATCAAAGGATTAAATTGTTTTCCGAGATCAAAGGATCAAATTATTCTATGCTTCTCGTTACTTTATTCTTCTTATTTGTTTATTTATCTACGTCAATTGCTATTATTACTTATTCTTTTAATCGATAACTTATTACTTCAGTTATTTTTTCTTTTATCTAATTAAAGAGATCAACACCCTCCGCCAATTGTTACTCCTATTAATTAGCGTTACCGGTGTGCCATAAATTCAACTTGCGTTTCATGCGTCACAAAAATCTTGTCGAGCATGTTTTTATATTTGTGTGTCGCCTCGTTGATCGACGGCTATGACACTCTTCACGATGATCCTCTTCGTCCTTTCTCTGTTCTAGATGCGTCGAAGTCCACAATTTGATTTTTAATCGTTCCAAACTTTCCACGCAACGTTAGTAGCTTTAGGAGAACAGTTCCTTTCGTAGTGCTGATTGTGCGTTTTACCAATAACAGGCAGCGCCTTGCTGTAATAAAAATTATGTCACGTTGTAATTACGTCACGTTGTAATTACGTCATGTTGTAATTACAATTGGAATTAATTTGACATCGAACACACACTTTTGCCGTAGAATAAATTTCACTCTACCGCATATCGTTGATGCGCGTTTATTCTGAAATATTTTATATAATAACGTTGCGTTTTAAGCACAACTAGATCATTATCAACTCGCCACTATTTCCCTCCAATCTGATTACGACACCTTGTTATTTTCAATCTATTTCAGATGGAAGCAGATAGAAACGACTGGACACGCACGTGCGTCCCGCCGTTTCTTTTTTTTTCCCCCCCTTTGAGAGACCGTGTGCGCGATCCACGAAGTCGCGGGTCATACTAACGGAGAGGACAGGTGGTCTGTCGCGTTGTCTTCACCGACGGGTTTCACTCCGTTCCGTAATAGGTCAATATCAGAGCTTAATCCGCGAATATCTTTAATCCAATCCGACAAAGAAACTCGCGCGCCTGTCGAACGTTGACACGAATTGCGTTAAACTGCATCGCTCTCACAAGGAGCCCTACACAATATATTACTTGGAGATAATACAAACCCGATAAGAATGACAGAAGAAGTATAACTTCCCTCCCTCGCTCTTTCTTACTTCCTATACGACTTACCCAAAGAGCATCTCTACGAATAAATGTTCCAAAACACTTTCGCGTTTATAGTTGAATTCTAATAGACCATATTTTCCTGTGCAGAATTCTATTTATATCTGCGCGGTGTTGAATTTCGTTAGTCCGTATGTGAAGGTTGCATGTAATGGAAAATGCGCTATAGGCACCGATGTTCGTCATGTTTAGAGTCGAATGCAAGCCCGGAGAGAAAAATACGAATTTTTATTTCCGCGCATGAATTATTCATGAAAATAAAACTGGTTATTCTTCTTCTCTCTATACGATCGAAGTCAATGTGTGATTGCGTGTGTTTCAATATATCATTTTTTTTTATTATTCACTTTTAGTGTATAAATATAAATTGTCATGTCACCTGTAATCATTTCCAATATTTGCTGGTTAACGTATAACTAGTGCTGCCTATACATGAATTTAAATATATTCAACATATTCATTTTATTCAATTGCGATTAGCATAATACACGTAACTATGATAATAGGTCTATTCTCTTCAGGTGAACTTCTTAATTCACTCTTTTTTTTTCTCCGTGTTGAAAAAAAATGTGTGTGGCGCGTGTGCAAAATGTGTAAGAAATTTAGCTAAAAACAATAAATCTTTCGACTATCTAAGATAAAAAGTATCTTATTCAGCTATTGAAGTATCTAAGTACCTTTTTGTACATTTTTTGGAAACATAGATATAACTGCAAAATTTAAAATTTAAATAAAGGAAATCGTTATCTTCTACTACTACTACTCTCTTGACAATATTAAACCTTTTAAACATACAAATAAATTAGAAAATAAAGGACTCTTTATGTAAAAATAAATAATAAGTTAAACATTTTATATAAAAAACGACAAAAATAAGGTGTTAATATTCGGTATAAACAAGCAACGATTTATCAGTTGACAAATTTATTATAAAAAAATTGATTTTCTTATTTTTATTTCAAGCAGTACAGTCGATTTTTATAACTGTAATTTAGACTATTTTATTTATTTATTTAATTTTAATAATGGATCTACTGGAGTTTTATACTGGATTATACATTTTTTATTACATTTCTGTTAAGATTTGTATAGCTCTTGTGAGGCAAAACACAAAGGAAGATCCATATTTAATTATACATATTTAATTTTATATTTACGACTCGTTAATTAATTATTCAATTTACACATTTAATTTTATATTTTTGACTCGTTAATTTTATTATAATTATACACATGTAAGTTATTGTTGATTCGTTTAATTCTTTTATACACACTTAATTTTAAATTTAACATTGAAAATGACCCGATCGGTGTCGAAACGTTTGTGAATTTTACCTACTAATTTTACTATGTTTGCGAATTTTGCGAATTCTATTTTAATGTATTATGATTTGATTTCATTATATTTATAATTTTTAAGAAAACTATTTGGCTCTTTTCTCTTATTTTCAACTTATTTGTTATTATAAAAAAATTCATAATTAAACACGAAACGTTTCGACGCATACTGCAGTCCTCTTCAGTCTCAAATACATAAAGATATCAAAATACATATAACAAATCAAATGATAATCTATGAGCTTTAACTCAGATGTCAAATGTTCTCTCTTAGTCAATTATAGAATAAAGGAAAGAAAATTGTCAAATAAAGCTGTTTCCGCATCGTGTGATTCTATGGAACCATTAATAAAATTAGGAATTAGAGAATAAATAAAACCAAACTAAACATGAAGGTATATCTAACTTACGTAAATTTCAGATGCCCATGTGCAACTTTCTTTCTTCAATAAAATTATTATATTATTACAACAGAGATACATTGTGTGTAAAAGACAGTTGTCAGAAGAATAAAGGAAATTATGATTTTAGCAATTCGAAATGTCAAACCTATTTATTATTGTGAGGTATATCAAAACAAAATATTATATGCTTCGTCCAAATTTTCCGTGTCATTTTGGGCATTAATGCCGTTCTTCTGTTCTTTAATATAAAGCATTTCTGAAATCAACCTCTTGTTGTAATGAGACTCTACATCCATAATTTGAACATTATTCCAATTAAATGAATGTTTGTATTGAATGCAATGTTCAGATATTACAGAATATTTCGATGGATCACTTCTCAAATTACGCTTATGTTCCTTTACTCTTGTGATCAACTTTCTTTTAGTTCGTCCAACATAAGACGAACTGTAATCATTACAATTAATTTCATAAACTATATTATTCTTTTGTATAGTATCTGTATTGTCTTTATGAACTTTAATAATACTACTAAGTTTATTAATACTCCTGAGTCCTACTGTAAATACTTCTTTATTTAAATTAGATGTAATATAATTTGTGATATTTGGAATGAATGGTACAGTTAGATATATCTTCATGTTTAGTTTAGTTTTATTTATTCTCTATTTAATTCCTAATTTTATTAATGGTTCCATAGAATCACGATGCGGAAACAGCTTTATTTGACAATTTTCTTTCCTTTATTCTATAATTGACTAAGAGAGAACATTTGACATCTGAGTTAAAGCTCATAGATTATTTGATTTATTATATGTATTTTGATATCTTTATGTATTTGAGACTGAAGAGAACTGCAGTATGCGTCGAAACGTTTCGTGTTTAATTATGAATTTTTTACAATAAATTTGTCAACTGATAAATCGTTGTTTGTTTATACCGAATATTAACACCTTATTTTTGTCGTTTTTTATAATATAACAAGCGTTTTAATACTTATATTTTATATAAATTTGGCAAAGTTTTTTCGATAGATGCTTGTCAACTTTATGTTAAAATTATAGATATATTGGTTAGTATACGATTTTCCCATCGTTTACTGCCAACATCACGTAGTAAATGGAGAAATCGAGGAGTAATATTTTATCGAATTAAACTACATAAACAGAGTGTTTTTTGGAATGTCTGAAGATGACTCGATCCAAGAGTCGAAACTGGTTGCGTAACGTAATTTCAATTTTTTTATTAAATTTGTGTTATAAACGACAAAATATATTGTTTTAATTTTAAGTTCAATGTATTTTTTAAAAATTTTATTACATACTTAATGTTATAACCGCTTTATTATTTTTATTTTATGATTTGATTCTAATCGTCCTTCATCTATGCTTAATTATTTAAACCTTTTAACTTATTTCGCTATACACTGACATTGGTAATTATTGATTATTAAAGTCGTAGACATTTATGTGAATACAATAAATCATAACACAAATGCTATAAAATTTTCGCAAATTCAATTGGACTCACTAGTGTGTACAAATATACATTAAAGCCGTTGAACACTGATTTAATCTGTGTAAAAGTAAAATGCAAATATTTTGAATTATAAAATACGGATTTTACTTACAGCATAACAAAATGAATCGAGAATTTCATGTTTAATCCGTTTTTATATTTATATTAAACACATTTCAATACCTTTCCATGAAAGTAAGCTGTAATTTTTCCAATTCTTAAAGATCATAATTACCTTCTTTGTTTCACCTTTCCTCTCCAAATTATTTGATTCTAGTCAAAGTCTGTTTTAGACAATTAAACGACTTCCTAAGATCATTAATATTATATCTGATTGTCGGTTTGGTTTCTAGAGCATGCACAGTATGATTGAATTATTGCATTTGACATGGTGTTGCGGGGCTTTGAGATTAATTCAAATTTAATGCTATCTGGATATCCGTTTATCCGAATTACAAATAAATGTAATGCTTCAAATTCGAGTTATCCGGAGATTCAAATTTTCCGAAAATATCCGAATCTTGATTTAAATAGTAAAAGTCGAATCCAGATCTAAATTTCGGATTTGGTTCCGGATTCGTAGCAAACTTATAGCAAATTCGACTGACCGACTTTACTTACTTCTATTTTATTGATATCGGATTATAATATTGAATAAGTTTAGAAGGTAAAACACTATGATGTTTTATGTAATTTTAAATATTCAATCTTCTGCTTTTTTATATATTTTAAAGAATTTCTAAAATAATTCAATTTTATAGTTACAATTCTCTTCTCTATAAGTTAATTTAATAATTTTAATAATATAAATTAATATTTTTTTTAAAAGATATTAAATACATCAATTTTTCTTTCTTTCTGGACATAGATCTAAATTCGGATCTGAATAATTCAGATACACGGATTACTCGAATTATATGGTTTTGAGATTTCAGGTTGAAACCGATTTTGGATATTCGAATATCTAGATATACGAGTACTTAAAAGCCCTACTTTGACATTGGTTTCATAACGGCAATAGTGGTCCTCGATTTTTCGAAGGTTTTCGATACTGTAAATCGCTAACTGCTTCTTGTCAAGCTTGATTACTACAGTTTATCTCTCTTTGTCCTTTCCTTCCAATTAATCGTTCCCAATGAGTCGTCTTCTTCTTACTGTATTTACTTTCCATTTTAAAATTTTAATTGTCCCATTCGAAGTGTCTCCTCGCACCTCTGCTATTCACAGTTTTCATCGCTAATCTGAGCTCCATTCATCTAAGTTAGCTCCAAATTGTTTGTATCATTACACAATATCATTCTCCTTTTCTCCTTCTATCTGTTTTTCTTCAAAGCTGTCAAAATTATAAATTTCTGCGATATGTGGCCGAGTGGGCTCCGTCAAATACTCTTTATATAAACCTCTCAAGATTTTCCTTGTTCATAACTGATTCTTCCTCTGCATTATCTCATCTTCTTTCAATGTTTTCTTTAATTCTGCTTAATCATCGCTCCTCTTCGGTAGAGCTATTGAAGTTTACTTAGATTCCTCTTGGTCTTCAACATTCATGTGTCAGTAATGAAATTAAGGCATGTGAGAATGACAGCCACTTCTGAATTGACACATTGAAATAGCAATTAAAACAAATGTTAATGTTCATGATAGGAAGAAGTGTTTATTACAAAGTATCGAGATAATCCTATATACAAGAATTTTGTAAATGGAGCACGTGTACATTCAAGTTAATAAATGGTTAGTTATATATAAAAAGTTATTACTCATTTAAAATCTAAAGCAAGACTGTGAGAATTTGAAAGAACACATTTCACCGAAAAAGACTCAAAAACGAGTCGAAATGTTCGAAATTATTACACTTTGAGTACTAATAATTAATATATTTTTTGTAACACTTAATTAATATATTTTATGTAACTGTGCTCCAATTACTGCGCTTCACTCTCACATGTCTTAATTTCATTAAAAGTCACAGAGGAATTTTTTTTCATTTTCTTTTGTTATTATTCTATATCATATATCATATATCTATTATTATTCTATATTATATATCTCAGCTGCTTATTTGACTTGGCTGATGTAATTTATATTCTAGTGATAAACCAACAGGTGCTAAATCCTATTCAGAATATCCAAAATTCCCATTTCTGTTTTCCTTATAATATCCGTAAGTACAATTACATCTTTCTATTTTGCTTAAAATCCAAGTGGCTAAAAATCTCTCAATGCTTCATCCTTCATTTACGTTGTTTTGTGTATCGTCTTATTTATTTTAACATTACTTTCTATTTCAAAAACTTGGTACTTTAACTCCGAATTCTGCCAAGTTTAAAGTCGCTTTCTTATACAATATGTTATTGTCAAATGTTTCAATATGCTATATCAGATGCCTTATGCCATCTAATCTTCCTCATCCATCTTCTTTTCGCGATGCAGTTACTCGTTTCCTATTATCTATATAATATTAATGCATTCCAATATTTCCAGTATCTCTAATATTGCAACTTTTCTACCTCTTGCGCTACAGTTTCACATCGAAGAGCAATATATCTTCTGTTAATTATACTCTTTTCAATTTTATATACATATATATGTATATTTAATATTATAATTTTTTTTTATTATTACTACTGTTATCATTTCTTTTTCTTAATATTTGTTATTTGTTATTTTTTTTTATTACTCTATGTATTATTTCATGAGTCATTCTTTTTTGGTTGCTTTTGTTTACTGGTAGACATTGTAGCAGTACTATTGATGCTTCACCAAATTATATACTTACCCACTCATGTTTATTGCAATCAGTATACTTCTATTTGGCATACAATAAACAAAATGTATAATTTTTATGTTAATTTGTTTATGATGGCTTTAATGCGTACTAGTGCACACTGAGTGCATCCAATTAAATTTGCTATTGCTCATCTTAATTAAAGATCTGTTCTTTACAGCTGAACTAGAGTACACTCGTTATACTTTAAATTTTATCAATTCAGATGTAATTTCCTTATAGATTCTCTAAATTTAAAACCGTGAAATCCAGTAAACTAAGGGCGATTGAGAATGCATTGTTGTTGGTACAAGGTAATAAGAAGTAAATTTATGAAATTGTTGAACAAATTTACTTCTTATTACTGTGCGTACCAACAACAATGCTGCACTCTCATTTGTCCTTAATTTACCGGATTTCACAGTTTTAAATTATATATTTTATATATATATAAAATTTAACGACATTAAAAAAGAAAGAAAGTTTAGTACAAAGTATAATTTGGTATAGCAATAAAGAACAGAACATGTTATATATATTTGATTGAGTTTTACCTGAGGGACCTGTGTACTTTTACCACAGCCTGTTTCGCCGACTAAAACCAAGGTCTGGTATTTCTCCAACAAATAGATAATGTGATCTTTGTTTTTGAATATAGGCAATCGTTGACGTTGCATGTCCAGTGCAAGCGAATGATGTGCATTGTAAACAAATTGTGTCGACGAATGAGCATCAATGTCAGGCCTATCCTCTTGCCAAATGCTATCTCCTGATTAATAAAGTTATTTGATTAGTAATTGACGTCTCTTTCTGTTTTGCAAATACAACTTTTACGCATTTTTTTTTTATTAAATTAAATCGTTTGGTTAGATTAGTATACAAACTGTCAAATTGCAACTTCTTCAAAGACTTTTCACTCAAAATGACAGTTAAATAATTGTTATTTATTAATACATCTTGATAATCCACAATATAAATGTCGAAGATAACTTCATCTAATAAAATTGCAATAAATACACGACTGAATGACATAACCTTACCCGGCTTGGAAAAAACCAGCCGAAACATCTTCGGAGTTTAAAACTTTGACAGAAAACTTATATTTACATATGTGTATATTAGTTAAATGGAAAAGTACAGGCAATATACGTAAAGTAAAAATAAATACAACTCTACATCAACACCATCTGAAGAGTAAACAGCGTCTGCGTCTAACGTATACGAAAAACACTGTAGCAAATTTTTCTACACACACATACGCGCGTGTGCCATGTGTGTATGTTGAGTATATACATGGTGTCTTATCTGTGCAAATACTCCAAATTGTTAAGTAACTTCTGATAGGATAACAACGCAGCAACAGGAATAATTGTTATATATTGATGCAGAAGTTTGCTTATAATTTACATACGATTGATACGCAATCTACGTTATACACAGTACGCATTAATTTTTGAAAGTACAAGTAACTGCAGGTATATGTTTATTTTCTATTATAGGTATTTCTGTTATACTATTATCAATCTTCAGCGCACCTATTAACGAAAATGTTCGAAATAAGATCTGTTTTTTTGTGGTTGAACTAATGTATGATATGTACATACATACACACACACTTTTGGAACTTGAGATAGGTATGTGTTTGATATTTCTCGAAAGTAGTCGAGAGCGAGAAAGAGAGTTTTAGTGCAAGAACAAGAAAACAGTGGATTCCGAATATTTCAATCGAAATTATATTTCATTTTCTCTAGAGAACACGATAAAAATTTATATTATATTGAATAATTGAATAAATCCGATCAGAATTCATTCTGATTTGTTCCATGATAAGTGCACTGTTCATGTGTGACACGGTGTTGATAATTTCATTTATTATATATAGTGTGCTGTTCTGATCTCTTGTCCACTGGTTGTTTCCAACAAAGCCAAGATGTTAGAAGCTTACGATGCCAAATATGATAAAGTATGATAAATAATATTGTAAATATTACATTATATATATATTTTTCTTCAGGCATTTAATTATGAAGTTTCTTATTTAATTAATATATATATTTAATTGTAAGTCTTTTATAGTGATCTATTCCAACGTTTTTAAACTATTCACATATGCATACACTATTAACAAATATCATTATTAAGTCTTATAAAATTTTAATTCTAAAATTTAAATTCTAAAATTTATATGTGTAGTCAATTTAATGAATGTAGTCTAATAAATATCTATATTATTTTTACACAGGAACATCCAAGGAATCTTATTCCAGAACTGTGCCGGCAGTTTTATCATCTGGGATGGGTAACTGGTACTGGTGGTGGTATCTCCATCAAATATGAGTTAGTTGTATAATAATATTATGTATGAAACTATTACGCATAGACATTCATTATAAAGTTTCTATCTTACAGAGACAAGATCTACATAGCTCCTTCTGGTGTACAAAAAGAACGTATGGTACCAAACGATATGTTCGTTCAAGATATCAATGGAATAGATTTGGAATTACCTCCATCAGAAAAGAAACTAAAAAAGTCACAATGCACTCCGCTATTTATGTGTGCTTATATAAGAAGGCATGCAGGTGCTGTAATACACACACACTCCAAGTTTGCTGTGATGGCAACATTATTGTGGCCTGGAAAAGAAGTCAGACTCACCCATCTCGAAATGATAAAAGGTAAATTCATTTGAATTATCTTTCAAAATTCATTTAGGTTTCACAACTCATAGTTAACTCTTAACTGATGTTTAATTTGTTCCTTATAAGAGTTAACTATAAGTTATGACTAGACCTTACAGTTGATTTGAATTTAACGACAATATAAAACTGTTTGGTTTATATAGGCATATGGAATCAAAAAGAAGGTAGAGCGTATCGTTATGATGAGGAGTTGGTAATACCAATAATAGAAAATACTCCCTTTGAAAGTGATTTAAAGAACGATTTAGATAAAATTATAGTTCGTTACCCAGAAACTTGTGCGGTATTAGTACGCAGGCATGGGATTTATGTATGGGGTGATTCTTGGCAACAGGCAAAAACTATGTAAGTTATTTCAATATCATACATTGTTGCAATGAAATTTATGAATGTTTTTTTTTCTTTTTACAGGACGGAATGTTACGATTATTTACTCGATATAGCAGTTCAAATGAAACAATGTAAATTAGATCCATCAATAACTCCAAATGATTATGAATTAAAATACCAAGCAAATGATACATTATGATGTACTCAGAAATTTCATAAAAAATTAATATTTTTATTAACCATAATTTTATGTATCTCTAGTTATATATGTGCATTTTTTAATCATTAAATGTATATAAAAATTAAAATAAAAAATAAATTACAAACAATTGTGATTAAAATTATTAATAATTTGAATTGCATATGCTATGTTTGTAGATATATATATATATATATATATATATATATATATATACACTATTGTAGATATATTATAAAGTATAAATAATATAAAGTATTTTTTCAAGTATCTATGTCAAATGGTGTAAATTGTTTCCTAATTTTTTTTGCTAGTTCAGTCTCTTCCTCTTGACTCATATGACAATCTTTCCAGTCGGATCTATCGTTGATATCTAATATCCTGTCAGATGCTAATACTTCTCTGCCGAATTGTAACGGGAAGTCCTTCTTGATTCTATAATATAAGACTTTTTTATCCGGTAATTCTACGTAAAAGTACAGAATACCAGGTTTAGCGACCTGCTGTAAATCTGTATGCGGTGGTAACTCGGATATTTTAAAGTTATTACATTCAGCCAGTTCCTGAAAGCACAAAAATTTATATGCATATGAACTAAAATAAAAGATACGTTCGACATTCTTTCATATAAAAAAAATTGAGAAAAATACCTCGAACATTTCCTTTAATGCGGGTGCTTGATTTTTATGAACAGGTACCGCTTGCAATTGACAGTGAGAAGTTTTAAAGTTTCTCTCAAAGAAAACAGGAACTCTGTCAGTACTCTCATAGTACTTGCTCACAGCTTTCTTATAGAGATCCATCTCCTCTTTTACATTTTTTGGTAGAATGGACAGACTCTGATGATGCGCTATTGGTAGAATTAACAGATGATCCTCCACTAAACCACCTTTTGCCAATGCCAAATATATCTCTGTGCCAATAGAAATTACCAGATGTTTGGATACTACTGGACTGGATAAACAAAACCAACACTTTGATTGGTCAATTTCTAGCTTTGCTCTCTTATTGAGACCACTGTTCTGATGTTGTGATCTCTTCGAATTATCTTTCGAGTCCATGTCATAGAAAAATTGGACCTGTTTTTGCAAAATAGGATGGTCAGACAGCATAGATTTGGGATAAGGACTCAGTGTCTCGTCTGTTGTTTTCATAATTAGATCTGATAGTCTGGTTCTATCAACAGGAGTTAAATTCAATGCATACAACCATTTTTTCTTCTCGTTATTCAGTACCGGTGCAAGAGCTATGAACCTCGTAGCTATTTCCATATTTCCATCACCCTGACTTTGATTCCTGCAATGAAAAATATATCATCTTTAAAGTAATTTTGCGTTTATATTTTCAGAAATTTTCTTAATAATAAACTTACCGATATGGTGGCCTTTCGTAATAAATCTGTTCTAAGGCTGACACGTGATACCTAGGTTTAATATGAGTAGCAAGCCAGGCGATTAATTTGGAACCTATGTACTTGCATTCTGGTTTGTTAGTGTCGAGATTGGTTACACCTTCTGGCCATGGAGATGTCAACAAGATGTCAACACCACGAAAACTCGGTTGACCCTTCAAGCAACTATTCCTGACAGACACAATGTCGTGTTCATCGAAATGAATGATCTTGTTTTCAGACGGGATTTTCTCGGTTCCACTGAGATATGCTATTTTGAGGCCTGAACTGGCGATGTACAGACCACGCTTTCCAAGATAAGTGAGATTCTGACATATTTCATATCCGTCTTCGGGATAGTCCCTCATATTCGATTCCCGGTTAGGACCGATAATGTACGTCGGTACCAAGATAATCTTCTCGCAGGATTTGTACGAATTCAATTCGGAATTGTCCGCGCCGAAGAAATTGCCGACGCATAATAAAAAATCGAATGGACCACTTTTTTTATTGATAGCGTTTACTTTGGAAAACAAAAAGTTGAAGTGTCCTTCCACATCTCCACAAATGAGTACTTTCTGTTTGTCACTCATCTTGATAATTAAATTTTGGTAATTATACAGAATTCACCCACTACCTCCGATTTCGATCAAATTAGGCTCATTCGACGCGTTTTTGCGTAAAACGAAAGAATTTTGAAGAAATAAGTGTCGCTCTGCCCCGCAAACCGAGATATTAAGCGTTAAAGTTGACGACTATTCAGGTTAGTAAATCTGTCATACCGACTACATTCGCCATGTTTTCTACATGGTTCCGACCATGGTATAAATACAAGGGTATGCTCTTGCGCATATTTCAGATAGGGACAATCCAGGGAATTTGTTCTTGCTTACGTCACACGAGCTTCCTCTACATTTACTTTACACTAGTGACCCTCTAATAAGAGTCTGGACACGTAGTCCGCCATTATTCGTCGAAATTGTGCGAGAGAGAAAAAATCATGCTATCTCATTCTAGTGGCGCTGTAAGTTGTAGCTGATTGTAGCTCTACAAACTTCATAGTTTCTGTTTCTGTTTCGTCTCGCCTCATGCATCGTATCATTTTTAAGATCAGGACCATTAATATTCGAAGAAGAAGAAGAATC